ATCAATTCTGGCAAATAAGCACTTCAAAAGTCAGTTCCTTAGGCAATCACTTCCCTGCTTTTGATGGGGAACCTAACCCTTCTTTTAGTTTAAATGCTCCTGTAAGAGTTTTTCAAACTGTGATGGTAAGTTCGTTTTTCCAGTTTTGAACAACTCCATGTTTCCTGCTTATCTCTTTTTAAGAAAACAAAGTCTGCGTATCCCTCGGAAATGGAGCCTTCTTTGGAGCAGAAAAATATCTCTGAATATACCCAAGGGATTTGACCTCTCTGGCAGCAGAGTTTTTTAAGAGTCGTTCTTCTTTATACCTGCCCTTGTTAATTCCTTATCAATTTCAGTCGAAATTGTTGACTTTTCCAAGTCAGAGGGTCATGTGGGTTTGTTTCTTCCTTGGGCTTCTTTTCTTAATCAAAAAAACCTGCCAAGCCCAATTTGGGTTACTTCGAGGCCCAAGTCATTCTCGCGGTTTTGATAGTTTCTGGGCCTCCAATGTTTAGGTCGAGTGTATAGTCTTGGCCTGATTTATTTGTTGGGGGGCTGAGTGTGTCAAATTTAGGCCCAAACACTTGTCAAATCTTCTTCTTATTGGGTTTTGTTCTATATGTTAGGTAGGTATTAGTTTTAGTGATTGGGTTTGTGAAATTTTATGTATACATTGCATAAACTAATGAATGGGTTTGTGGAATTTTGAATGAAAAGTTTGCCTTTGTAGTTCAACTACGGAATATATAAAATTTGGGGGATTTGTGCTTCTTTGTGAACTTCAACGATTGTGACTGTGAGCCTCCACCCGAGTTTAGCGATGGCTCTTTGGGTATGTACGGAAGCTAGCGGTGGAGGAGGCGGCACCACCGCCTCTGGGTCACTGCAAAGAGCTCTACCAAATCAACATCAAACCCCGTACAGCAGATCACATATAGGCCTATACACCCAGCTCTAAAGAACAAAGTTTTCACCGGATTCAATTTTTGAGAGCACACTATTTTCTTTGTTTCTGATTCCATCATCTGTTTCTAATTTATTTATCAGTTTCAACATAAGCAAACTTATGAGTTTTGTTTTGTGTAAATAAAAGAACTTCTGAGTTCGTAAGTGGAGAACGTAATTAAACGGCAGTTAGTTTGGAAAAGAAAGGCCCAAAACTTATTAACCTGATGTGGTATAACATGAAATGGAGTGGACCAGATTTTATGAAATGCACCAAAATGCTTAATAAATGTAGAGACTCGAGATCCCTCATGTCAGCCTTATTTTCCTTTTCTTTGTTTGGGTAAGAAGACAGGTATCAAATTTTCATTCTATTATTCAGCATTTGTTATCTATGAATTTTTAACGTAATCTAACAAAGACGAGAGACTGAGTGTCACAAGATCAAAACATTCTCGCTCCTTAAATTTTATAAACACAATCGAAGATTCTTAATTAAGCAGAAAAGTAGAATTAACAGAACATTCTAATGGTGGAGATGAGACTGATAAAACATCACGCGCACACACTTTATTTCTTACATACATGCACATACTACTAAAATACTAAAGTACTGGTAGAGATGAGACTGATATGAGGTGATACTAAGGTGGTGGTGGAGGACCAGGTGGTCCCGGAGGAGGTGGAGCAAAAGGTCCACCCGGCGGTGGATGCCCTGGCGGGGGTGGAGCAGGAGGCCCTGGTGGAGGTGGTCGTGGCGGTGCAGGGTCCGGTGGTGGAGGAGCAAACGGGTCTGGCGGTGGTGGGGGTCCTGGTGGATGTGGATGATGGTGAGGCATATTTCTGACGAGGCCTTGCGCAAAATGAACTATTAATTTATAAGTTTTCAAGTGTGTATGATGATGAGTTAGCATTTAGCACAAAACTTGCTTATATAAATGAGTTGAAAGAAATGTGTAGAAACCTGTAGAAGATTCTAGAGACTGGTAGTTGTGACTTGTGGATAGTAAACGTGTAAAAGTTAAACCATGGGACATCATTTTTATAGAAAATATGTTCCATTAACCATTACTTTACTACGTACCTTAATCCAAACATTTTTCTTAATTGACTGGGATTTTACACATTTAAAAAACCGCCGACCATACCAGAAAACACACAAACAACCGACCATTTATATGTACACGTGTTAACAAAACAATATGAGGTTTCGTGAAGATCGATATTTCATGCCGAGAAATTCAATGCATGATTTATTTGTTGACTATAGTCGAGTAGCCACGTGTAATCTTGTGACTGGTGAACTTGGAAAAATTCGCTCTCCTCGTTGTTGAGATCTGCTGCACACCATGTATTGGATGGATGGGATGAGATGAGATGGGTTTGGAAATTACCAAATTATATATATATACTAAAACTGAATCCACCAAATCACTGTTCCTAGACTGTAGCTTAGTATAGGGCTAAACCAAATAAACCACAACCACTGATCAATTCCAATGGGTAACAGAGGAGAGGAGAACCACTACTCGCCAACTTCTTTGCGTGGAAGGGTTAAGCACATTTCGCGAGACTGTAATGAGGTGTTATAATGAGCAGAGCAGGTCCTTAATAGTTATCTGATGGAAGTCCATAAAATATCGATAGTTTCAGAAATATCAGTGGTCCAAGAACAAGGAAATTTCTATGGAAATATCGGGAAACTATCGATATCGGTAAAATTGAATGAAAACCATGGAAATTGTAAGAAAAACTTGAAAATTTTTATTTAAACTTTGAGGATGTTAATTTATTTAGTCAATTATCTATTAGTTTATCACAAAAAAAAAAATTGTAAGGAAATGCTTTGCACGATGGGTTTAACTGATTTAAAATGATTATATAGTGAGCTGACAAACACTGTGAGTGTAGAAAATATGTAGTAATTAATGAAATAAGATTAAACACACCATAATAATTTATTTATAATGATTTACTACAATATTTTACACTTTATACATTGCATGGTAAGATACATGAGTGACTTAGTACCACATAGAGTTACTGTGAGGTTCAAACTTTTCACTGTACGTTTTCATCATCTCTATGTGCAGAGTAAGTGTATTGTGAAGAGTATAGTCATCAAATTATAAATCCCCAAAATAGTTTTGCATGTAGTTGTTAACATGCCATCCATATGGATCCGAGATTGGTTGACGTTGTCCATATAGCGATATTTTTGATATTTATCAATATGATCGCGATATTTTGGCCAAATGTTGTTGAAGCGTGTGAGAAATTATCGACGTCGATATTTTTCAATATTATTCTCGATATTATTGATAATTATACGATGTGTATGGATATGTTACAAAATATCCTAGACCCGAAAAAAACTATAATATCCTCGATATTTTGTCGATATTATCGATATTTTATACTTTGGTTACAACAAAAAACTTGCATATCAGGAGGTCAATATTGATTTGTTATCCTAATCAATCATGTTCTGAGGAATAATTTTTCTACATTACAGAACTTGATTAATTAAAAATAACAAACTAATGTTATCCTATGACATGTAAGTTCTTCTCGTTGAAGGAGCTCTGTACTCTCCTATGTCATGAGTCACTTTCAGAAAAGAAAATGGAGCATAGCTAATCATGACAAGCACTAGAGCTGCTTTCAAAAGAGCACTAGCAAAAAGTCTCAAAATCATAAAGTGGCAAACATCCATGCTTCCTCCAAGTTGATGATGCCCATATATATATCATATGTGTATAAAAGAGACATCTCTATATGCAAGGTCTAAAATATTAATGGTTTTGGAAATATCAGTAGTTCAAAAATACGGAAATTTCGATGGAAATATCGGGATATTATCGATATCGATAAAAATTGAATAAAAACCACGTAAATTGTAAGAAAAACTTGGAAATTTTTCTTAAAACTTTGGAAAATGTTTATTTAATCAATTATCTAGTACTTTATCACAAAAAATTGGAAGAAAATGCATTACATGATGGGTTTAACTTATTTAAGTTGATTATATAGCGAGCTAACAAACACTGCGAGTGTAGAAAATATGTAGTAATTAATGAAAAAAGATTAAACACACCATAATCATTTATTTATAATGATTTACTATAATATTTTACACTTTATACGTTGCATGGTAAGATACATGAGTGACTTAGTACCACATAGAGTTCCTATAAGGTTCAAATTTGAGTTATTTACACTAACACCTCCTGAGGTTTTTAGTTTTTTCACAAAACTCCTTGAGGTTTTATAAATTACAAGAACACCCCTTGAGGTTTTAAATTGTTTTCACAAAACAACTTTTCATTGATTTTTCATCCAAAGAGTGATGATTTTATACAAAAAAATTCTCCAAATGACAAAGTTGGACTTTAAGATGAGATTGCATATACTTCATTGAGGTTAATTTTGTCATTTGCATAAGTTTTTTTTTTCAATGAAATCATCAATTTTTTGTCAAACAATCAACGAAAAGAGGTTTTGTAAAAACAAACTGAAACCTCAAGAGGAGGAGGGGGGGTTCGTGTAATTTTTGAGACTTGAGGAGGTTCTGTGAAAACACCAAGAAACCTCAGGGGTGTTAGTGTAAATAACTCTTCAAATTTTTCATTGTCTTCATCATCTCGATATTATCGATATTATAGCGATATTTTGGCCAAATGTTGCTAAAGTGTGAGAGAAATTATCGATGTCGATATTTTCCGATATTATGGATACTTATACTATATATGTATGGATATGTTCCAAAATATCCTAGACCCACTTTAACCCAGGGTATTTTGAAAGAGAAGTGTTAATCAAAATAAATTGATGATGAAAAGTTGGAAGAAAAGTTGGTGTGTCTGTAATTACTTCTTTGCATACTTACAAATAAATGTTATGCCCTATGCCCTCTTCATCCATTCCTTGAGAACCGCGATTTGGTTTTGTCATATCTTTCTACAGAATAATCTGACAAACATGGCAGAAAATTTGTTTTATCAATCAATCGATTACTTTCAACAGAATGATCCGATAAACATGGGCTAGGTTTGATGAAGATATCTTCTTCATCACATGTCATTTGAGTTCAAGTAGAGATGATGTTCTCTGATGTAATCAATTACTTCATCTGCAGTCAGATATTTTATCGACAATCCTCTTGAAATGCAATCCCTGAAATACATTTGTAAGTTTTCAGTTCCTTCCACATTCCCCTTAATATGTTCGTCAATGAAATCACATTGCCTTTACCTTATTCTTGTAGAACTTATTTGGTTCGGTACAAGTTCATCCACGATTCTTATGTTGCCCTGTAATAAAAAAGAGAAGAACTAACATCAAATGGACCAGAAAAGCAGTGGACTGTAAAGAAGCTTCAAATCAAAACTATTCAAGAAATTAAAGGTTTTGCACTATTTCAAACCATTACGAAACTTTCGATTTCACAAATTAGACCAATTTCGACCCTTGTATACAATACCAAGTTGCATAATTTACATTCAGAATATCATAGGTGTAGAAGAGAGAAATATCATTTGGGGTAAAAGTTAATTGATCTAGGTGTGTAACTAAGATAATCCAGTGTTTTACAACCATTGAATGACAATTTGATTGACTATTACAATATATGAGCCAAAAAGCACTGAAAAAAAGTCAAGAGATGTGATTGATTACCCTGTTCTCTTTCAAAATTTCATCATTTGAGATAATTTTATCAACATCTTGTCCCTCCCTGCGAATGCAAACCACACCATAATCTCTGCATATGCCTCTGACCTGACCAATAAGGACAAATGTTATGTAACATCTTCTTCGACCAGAAAAGGACCAATTCAAAGGGATTAATTAAACCGTACCCCACTTCATGTGTGATTGTTGTTGAACATTATGACCAAATATTCTCCTAAGAATTATTCAACACCTTTTAAGGTTACTGAACTAAGATATGAATAAAACTCTCCAGATGAAGTCGTTGTATTCTACAGTAAGTTATTAATACAGGAAAAATGAGATGGTTATCTTGTGAGAATAAACTACACATGACCACTAGAATATAGAATTACAGACATACCTGTTCAGCAATCCAAACTCCAGGAATGCCAAAAGAGTGGAGTAGATCAGAGCCACACACAAGCATGCACTTAAGAGATTCTATCAATAGCAGACACAGAAGTCAATCATGTTGCCTCCAAATTAACAATGAGCAGCTTCTCAAAGGAAAACGAACGACAACAGTTTTGCAAATCTTACCACTGGGTATCAGCCCAGCCTAAGAAATCCTTGACTCTAGACAGAACAGTTAAAATGCGTTGGAAGCTACTTTGTCTTGCCTGTAAAATTGGTTTATAACTTCTATTTTTTAAGTACACAGAACAGAACCCTAATGGCAGTAAATAAATAAGTCACATACTGCACAACAGAAGCATCATCTCAGATTCTAGAGAATCTGTACAGTGGAGTGAGAGAGAGATACCTCCCAAGGATCAACCATTATAAATTCTGAACTCTGGCAGGCTAGATGGCACAACTGTATACGATGTTCAGCAGATATAAGGCCCTACACAATCAACCAAGTGACCATGTCAGTGCGTGGCAATAGAGGGATATGTGATATCTGATCATATGATCTAACTACAGCACTTATTCAGGCATAAAGTAGTAATAAACCTCATAATTGCATTAACAAACTCATTCGAGTAACGTACGTAATAAATAAATAAAATGGAATAAATGTGTTGCTTCTACAACCCTGGTTGAAAGGGGTCCATGAAGAAGTTGAGCTATGTGAACAACTTCCTAATGCAGCCTCATCCCAGAATTCTGTTAAAGACTGCTGTGCATACTATGTACCCTTGTCCATGTGCTTATGAAAGCTCTTTTGATCCCAATGCCTACAGAAATGCTATTAAAGGTTACATACCTTCTTATTGTATGCATCATTAACAGGTGACATATAACCTCCAATGACACAAAAGCCTTCTGAATTCAGTGCATCTCTTGCCAGCTCTGTGCACAACAGCAAAATTGATCAAAATATACAATTGATCTGCAATTTCCAGTGCAAAAATGAGCAAAAGATCCCAAAGTCATAAGTAGAAACTGAAACGCAAGAGGCCATTACCAGATTCAAATAGAGAGCGCAATTCGCATATATGTAAATTCATATGTTAGCTGTCAAAATGAGAAACTTACCGAACATTCGTAAATGCATAAAAGTAGGAGGATTGAAACTTCCAGTTGCTACTAGAACTACATACTTCTTGTCCCTAGTTTAGATAGAGACAGAGATAGACAGTTATCATATTTTCAAAAAAATTACACCCCCTCGTATTAATTTTGTCAACCTTGACATCCATGCTTGAAATTTAACCAACAAATGCAGTTCTTTCCAAATGAAAATGTAATGCAATTCTTCTGCAAATTAAAATGTAATGCCCTTAAGATAGACAGGACTAGGATTAGCTAAGTCACTGATCAAAACAGAGAAAAGCATAAAACTAAATATATACATTCCTTTTACTAAAGTTAAAAAGCAAAATTCAATCCTTGGAAGGCAGACATATCCAACGATTCCACTAGTAACATAAAACAGAGAAAAACAGTAAAATAAAAATGACAATATGAATGTACTTGTCGTCGCGATTAACCAAATGCAGAGCTAATTTACTAAGAGGCAGAGGGATGTCCATGGCACCTGAAAAAGTTTTAAAATCCATATTAAAATGTATTACTACAAAAAAAGGGATTCGCTCAATGTTTTCTCTGTTTGGGTTGATGTTGAGGATATGTCATTTTCTGCAGTAAAAATCTTGTTCAACTAGGAAAAAAGAAAACAACAGATAACAAATGAAAAAGTAATAGGTCTCTCCACATTACAAGTTACATATATTATCTGTAGTAATTTAAGATTAAATCAGAAGAAGAAAAAATAAAGCACAAGCAGTCTAAGTGAAAATTAACCCAAATCAGAAGCTAGTCCAAGACTAATATAAAAGTCTCACCTTGTCTGTCTGCATATGGCTGGTCTATATAGATTTTAGAAGAACCTGCACCTAAGCTTTGACTAAGTTACTTAAAGATACATATACTATTTGGCAGAGAGGAAACTGATTTACTCTTCCAAATTAATCAAGTGGTGAATAACTAAATAAAACAGAGAGAGAAAGTTTGAAAATTTGTTTTCACGCAGAACACCGAGAATCTGCAACTTCTGTTTTTTTATTTCCAGGCAGCTTCTGATTGAGTTATTCCAGTCAGATACGCCCAATCCCATCTGTTACCTAGCTAGTACCAAAGCCCAATGGATCCATGGTAACCACTTATTGATGCGTACTCGGCCCTCCTACTCATAGACCCAAGAAGCCTCCATCTTTCACCACATTCCACTTCATCTACATGTGTCATTTTAACTTCCGTAAACAATCATCAATAATACTACTTGTAGAGAAATTATAGAATGGTACTCGAGTATGGTTATGTGGGATAGCTTGTACATATGTTATAATATGAGTGGATAATATAGTTGATAATTCCCCTTTGTAGGAAATAGTATCAACAAATATCCACTTATATTATAACGTGTGAACAGGTTATACCAAGTGACCGTATTACCAAAATACACTATAATTACTCTTATTTCTACCACATTTACTAATCACCTTATTGATCACCTCTTTAATAGAGGTGAGCCACACTAATGTATGTGGGACCCACTTGTATTAGATAGGTGGTCAACAATATGATCGAATGTGGTACAAATAGCAACACTCAACAATAGTTTTAGGAGTACCAAGTCTTATTTGACTCATGTTTAATATTTCATTTATTCATATTTTTGCCCATTTTAAACCTGATTTATTTGTAATTAATAAGTGATTGTAATGTGATGTAGAATTTTTTATACATCAATGAGGGAGGGAGGATTCCAACATTGAAAGAGAAGTATCACTTGACTAGTAATTAGTTGGTCAAATAAAATTGATGATGAAAAATAGTTGGTGTCTGTAATTACTTTATTGAAAACAAATTACAATTACTTCATCTCTATGACATTGTTGGAAGCTTATATTTAGAAATCTTTGGGCCCATTTGATAATCATTTTAATTTTTAGTTTTTAATTTCTAGTTTTCAGTTCTCATTTTTAAGAAATTGAAAACATAAAATTTTTTTGGTAACCAATTCTAGTTTTCAAAAAAAACTGAAAATTGAAAACTATTTAAAAGTTATTTGGTAATTGATTTAAGGTTTTAGTTTTATGTGGAACTTGGAAATTGAATTTTTGGGGATCAAATTTGAGTTCATATAATGAAAGTACATGTTACAAAGAGTTGGTAATATTTTTCAGTGAGTTTTTTGGAGTTAGGATGATTTTTTTTTGGGAATTTTGAATATGGAGGTCCCGAGGTTTGGACTGGGTCAACAGCATAATGTAAGAGTCGAGCGCCCGAGTCCAAGTTGGGAGATCCCAAATAGCGAGTTTTGGTACTTGGAGTGCAATGCATGTGTGGTGCTGTGAAATTGATGAACAAGAAAGGAAAACAATTAAAACAATAACTAAAAACTGAAAGCACTTTCAAGTTGTTTTAAAAAATAAGGGTGATTTTAAAAACTAAAAACGAAATTTGTTACCAAACATGTTTTTCAGTTTTTAGTTTCCAAAAAAAAGTTAAATGTGAAAATGAAATAGTTATCAAACAACTCCTTTGCAATATGTATTACTTACAATGTTTTATGCCCTAGTTATCACTCTCTCTCTCTCTCTCTCTCTCTCTCTCTCTCTCTGTGTGAACACTGTTAATCTGCTAGCTCCAAATCAACTTGTGCCTTGTTGCCTTGTGTGCTGGGTGGCTATAATTTGGCGGCGGTTGGATGGTGGAGCCCTTGTTTGTCGTCCTTCTCCTGTTGTGCAAACGAGTTCACACTTCACACCAATTATTCACATTTCCCAAGAATCAAGGTTGATAAAATATATTATATACATATATGAATGGGAATTAGATTATTTAAGCAAGAAACCCAATAATATTTGGGGAGAGAGAGAGAGGCACGGGGCTGAAGGTGTGATGACAGAAGCATAGAGAGCACAAAGGAGAGAGATGCTGCCTGCCATGTCGATGTCCATGCATTTCTTCATCTGTGCTCTCTATCTTCTGTCAACAAAACCTGGTGCTTCTTCTCTCACACACATATGATATGACATATTTAAATACGTATAGGAAATTTAAAACAGGAGTTCAACTTCTTAATTATATTAAGACTCAGAAAGGAAAGCTTTCCTTCTCCTCCTTCTTATCAAACATATACCAATTAAAACAAAAACACTAGCTAGAATACAACCCCTTTATTTAATTAGTACCTACCAGAAAAAGAAATAGACAAATCAACCAAAAGTACGTCTTTAGTTGTGATTGTACGAAAAACTATCCAAAAAGGGGAAATTCCAAATCATGTGTTAGTGTACACAAAAAGCTTCTTACCATTTATGTGCATCCCAAGGTTTACTGATGACATGCTTTTTATATATATATGCTATTACCACTATGCAATATATGAATATGGATTAATTTAATTATGGGAAATCAAATTAATAAGCAATAGCAATAGGGGAGGTAAGGGGATGAAGGTGATGACAGAAGCACAGAGAGCACAAATGATTGAGATGCTGCCTTGTTCATGCATTTCACCATCTGTGCTCTCTATCTTCTGTCAGCAAAATCACCTATGCCTCCTCTACTAGCTTAGCTTCTACAGAAAACATATTGACAGGAAATTAAACAGATAAAACAAAGATGTTAACATAAAGTAATTGGGTGCAAAACATGCAATTCAAATTTTGCGTTTGCAATTGTCTGGGATAATTGTGTTGGAGGGTGGGGAAAGAGATGCAGAAAGAAAATGGAGAAAAGGGTTCCGAGAGGAGAGGAGAAGGAAGTGAAGAGGTAGCTTTGGATGAACTTAAACGACTTCCCATGCCACTATTTATAGAAAAGGTCTATGTGCATGTTGGCATGTCCTTCATTCATTTCATACCATTCTTCGTATGTAGCCATTTTTCATGAGATGCTTAAACGAATATATGAAATGTTCCCCACAATTATTCACGATAATTATGTGCCTAGTGTCTCACGCAAATCGGGTGTGGTTGCCTACAAAGCAACTCCCCCGAAAAGGTAGCGATTTTCCCACTCTCATTTTGTACGTTTGGACTTCTCTCCTTATTTTTACGTTCCATTCTATTTTGAGTGCTGCTATTTCCACCTCCTGTCCTATTTTCTCATCCACCTTATCTTCCCACCCACCATGTAAATTTGAAAAAAACACAATCCTACTTTTCCACCCACCATTATTCCTATACTCTTTAATTAATTTTTTTTAGAAAGAAAAATACCCCTTAATTATTAATTCAAACATTTATCCAGAACACTCTCTCTCTCCTCCCTCTCCCCCTTCCTTCGCCTATGCTCTATGCTCCTGTCTCACTCTCTATGCCTCTCTCCTCTCTACTCTCTCTCTTCTCTCTAAAAAAAACCAATTGCCAAAAGCAACCAACGTGAAACTCCTCTCCCTTCATTTTTTCCTCCTTTCAATATCTTTGCAAGCGTCACTCTTTCCCGTCCGATTGAAAAGTAATTTTTTTCCTCATTGCAAAGCTAATTGATGGCCACAACTTCTGCTTGATTAATATCTTTGAGTCCTGTCCTTTATATATCGCCCTCGTCACTTTGTCTTCGTTTTTCTTCCCTTTTTCAATCTAAATAAGATGATATGGTGTACATCAAAATTCCTTCTTTCTATTTTGTTAGAGCAGTTCTTTATGGAAAGGATTCTTTGGTCTAATCTCAAGCTTCAAGCGTTCATTTAAAATAATAATAATAATAATAATAATAATACTCCTTCGGTTTCAGTTTTGGTGTCGGGTTTAGATTTGTACCCAATTGGGGCATTCGTAAATATAGAGCATTGGGTATTCGTCCCTTGCTTGATCTTCTAATGGGAGATCCCACTAGTAAAAAAATGGCAACAGTCACCATTATTTGGTTACATTTGTGGCTGTGACAAAAGGCATTAGTCACCTTTTTTGACTTTTTTGGTGACTAAAAAGGCTTTAAGTTACCTTTTTCGCTTTTTTTTAGTGACTAAAGCCTTAAGTAACCCCTACAACAGTCACCAAATGTCACCAAATAATAGTAACTGTTGTCACTTTTTTTTTT